GCTCATGTTCATACACGTTTTCCAAAGCGTATAAAGTGTATAAGAGTTATAAAGTGTAACCGCGGCGCGTGTTACACCTAGATGCATTAGAAGTGGATGTTTGATGGTTTCAGGAACAGTTGCTACTCGGTGCAACAACATGTCTACAAGTTCTACGCATTTGTGTTTAGGGCCATGTGTAACTGTGTTAGATTATAGATCCTGCCCACACAACCAGTCCAAGTCTAGTTTAGCATCCCTGATTTGTTGAGCAATAGCACATATGCGAAAACACATTTGGGGTGGGTCCCAAACTAACCTTGATCCCATACAACCTACCTCATAAACTATACCACTTGTTGACCTATGTCTCTGACGTCTGTGTCTGTGTCTGTCGTTTTATAGTGTTTTTATAATCAACGTATTAGCCAGCGAGCCGTGCAGCCGTGATTTGCACAGTCAGTTTTGAAACTGCACGGCCAAAAATGTGTAGCACGGCCTAAAATATTGATCTAAAGCCGTGTACAATTGTAAAAATTGCACTCCCAAATATTTTTTCTGCACTCCCACAATACTCATTCCTGGCTAATACCCTGTTTATAATGTAGGTGTGTTGTGGCATATTATTTTGTTGGTATTCACTTTTATGAGTTTTAAGGCTTTCTAGTTCGCTTTTTTCAGTGGAATTGATAGCCTTTTTGATATTGTTGTTTATTTCTTCAGCATGTTCATGAAGTTACCAGCTTACTCCTAAAACAAGTACAGATTAAGCACATTACTAATGTTTTAAGTAACTTTCCATTTAGGTCGTGCTGTTGAAAAACTGCAGCCATGCAGATCTTTGTGAAAACCCTTACTGGGAAAACCATTACCCTTGAGGTGGAAGCCAGTGATTCCATAGAGAATGTGAAGGCTAAAATCCAGGACAAGGAAGGTAGGTGCAGTAGTATGCATTGTGACAATGTCTTTATAGCTGCTTGCTAGCTAGCAAAATGATAATTTCACAGTAAAATGAGGAGACCTTATTAGTTATTAAAAGGTATTTGTAATAACAATGCAGTTTAGGACAGAGTAACTGTGTAAAGCTGTGTACCACTGAACAAAGATTACCTGGGTAAACCCTGGTTTGTAAATAAATGGCAAGGTCTATGTTGTATTGTATTTCCTTCCTAGTAATTTATTACCATTGGACATTGAATGAGGGAGCTAAGCCCCACAAACAGTAGGCCTACGGTTACTAATATTTGTAACATACATGATGTACCAGAAATATCACCCCCTTACATTTTTCCTGTTTTAGATTATTCTGTGGCTGGAAGCAATTTGAGATTAATATTAAAATTGCACTGAGACGTCAAACAACATTTATTTCTAATAGGTATTCCTCCGGATCAGCAGCGTCTGATCTTTGCGGGCAAACAGCTGGAAGATGGCCGTACTCTGTCCGATTACAACATCCAGAAAGGTTTGTCGAATAAATTTGGTTAAATATCACGACTGTAAGTCTGCTTTTGTGGGCCAGACCTATACAATTCTCGACAAATGTGTTTTTGGCAGAGCCGAGAACCGTCCTAATGTTCTAACGATATCCTAACGGTGTGAGAAAACCGATGTTCGTAGTTGTGCATTGACCATGAATTGTTGTGATTCTGCTTGAGCACTATAAACAGGTTACTGTCCTCTCTGTGGGCATTGAATTTGGTAGCTGGTGCAAAAGTAATTCCCATTGGTTGAGCAGTCGCTCTGTTCCTGTCTGCCATAGGGGCTGGAGCTCTAAGCTCAGAGATTTGCCAATTGAGAAACACGTAGTTGACGTCAGTATGACGTTACTAAGAATGCCCATCGAGTCATTTGATTTAACAGCCATTTTACTGAGAATTATATGGCAGAAAACGGACCACCGATAGTATAGGTTTTTTTTATTGGTGCGCGTCCTTAAACTAGCTGAATAAAACAGTTTTGTTTCATACACAGAGTCCACTCTTCACCTGGTGCTGCGTCTCCGTGGTGGTATCATTGAGCCTAGCTTGCGTATGTTGGCACAGAAGTATAACTGTGACAAGATGATCTGCAGAAAGTACGTTCACATTGTTACTTTTTCCATATGTGTGTCTGGAAGCGTGTGCTCTTAAATACAAGCATGATGAATGAATCTTTTGTGTAGGTATATTGATAATAATATGTTCTATTAACTTATAGGTGGTCATGAAGCAGTGATTAATGTGCTTTCATCTGCTTTTCAGGTGTTACGCTCGCCTTCACCCCCGTGCTGTGAACTGCCGCAAGAAGAAGTGTGGTCACACAAGTAACCTTAGGCCCAAGAAGAAGCTGAAGTAGATTTGCTGACATATCACACCGCTGATAAATTTCCTGTAGTTTTCAATAACTATAAATAAATCGAAACGTTTTCCGATACCAAAAGGTAATTTTCTGTTTTTGTATTATTTGAATATACTAGGGCTGAATGTTATTTTATTTTGTGTGTTTTTCCATGTGCAGTTAGTTTATTGGCAATTGAGCAAAGTTTCCACTCAAATGTCTCTGTTGGTACTTCTCATCTGTAAGTATAATCAAGGTGTTAGTTGTTTTCATATAAGGCACGTTCACACGGACGTTTTTAGCCCGCGCCAAATCTGGCTCGAGCCGAGCGTTCACACGGACGGTTTTTCGGGGCCGTGCCGAGTTAGCATGAGCCAATTTGTTCCCATCGAAAACGTCTGACCAGGCCCGAGCCAAATTTTAACCCCAGCTAAATCGGTAGAGCGGTAGATGCCGCGAGTGTCGAACGTGTACTTCGACGAAATAAAGTCCAAAATAGTATAAAAATTCGAAAAATTTGATCAGGATTCATGTCTTCAAGATTGATAATTGAACTCGGAACGGAAGTAAACACTGAATCGTACACAACGCTATCTCACGACATACTGCAGAAGTATCTGTGAGATATTTGTGCAATAAAATTTATTTGAATTTGACAGACAGTATTCACTTGCGTACGTGTGAACGCTCCGACTCAAACCGGCCCAAGCCAAATTTAGCCCATTTAGCTCGAGCCAAACCATTACCGTGTGAATGCGGTAATAACATGCAGTCATAAATAAAAAGCATAACCGAGTTGGCACTAGGTGGAGCTGCTAGGGTTCACAGATGTTCTATTTCCTCACATACTGAAGAATGTTGTCAAGAATGTAGGTGTTAGGCTGTTAGCAAACGTTTAAATTGTAATTTGCAGATAGATATCGAATATTGATTGAAAAAGCAGATGATGATTGCATGTAACAATAACTTAGCTCCAGAGCAGGTTTACGCGTTCGTCTAGCTACAATTTATGTTTCTGTTGGTGTAGTGTTAGTCATTTTTATGACCTACTATTATTGTGGACACTGAAATTCCATTTTTTGTAAGTGCAAAATTATATGATGAAGCTGCCTATAGATGGAGCCAGGGTACAAAAAGTAAGGGAAACTGATATCTCTGCCGTTGCTCGACTGGAAAGGGAAGGTGAGCCAATAATTTGAAGACTAAGAATTAGTCTTCAGAGGTTCGTCAGCACACTTCAGTTCGGACTATATTGTACATGATATTATGAAGATATATTACTGACACTAACAGTCTGTACAGTAATATAATAACAATAAATAGTAACAGTGCTGTAATATGAATCATGATTACAAATTCCATATACACTACAGGATACCCATTGGATGAGGCAGCAAGTGAAGAAAAGTTATTGCACAGACATTCTCAGGCACCCGAACTATTCCTGGGATGCTATCTACGTGACACGGTTATAGGGGTAAAATATAGATGTACAGACTCCTGTCATCCAAGTATGAGTGCTAAATAACTAAATGTTTGATGATGAAGGCTGAGTGTGCTTTCAACTGCAACTGATGTGATGTTTATTACTAATTCATGGTGTGGCCAGTAGCCATCTCGCTAGTCACTCTCCGTCACAATCTGACAGTAAAACACAATCCTGTACACTGTGTAACCAAACACTATACACGAGTAACATAAAAACCAGCCAAGTGTCGTGTCTTGATATTATTAGTCTATGCTAACACATAAATGGACCATGAACAGCAAAACACTGCTATAGTGTTGTATCACGGCTGCTTGACAGTGCCAGATGGGCAGTTGTTGCATGATGAATGCCCACATGCATCAGATGTTTATCAATGTTTAATGTGTGCATTGCGTCTTTCAGTACATTTGCAGTACACGAGCAAATGATGACACCTTGACAGAGGAATCTATGAGCACACATGTGCCCTCAGGAGGTACATCATGATCTATACATTAAGATATAAACCTTGCTCGTACAAGTGTTTTTGGATGTATTGTTTAATCAATAGACCTTCCCCAACAATGTGCATACATTCAGGACTGCACGATATTCCATAATTGGGTTTAATCTATCCATAGCGAAACTATTGACACAATGCCACTAAAGCTTCATTTCCTTACATCAGTGTAACAGTGTTATATCACTCTTTCCTTTTCATTATTTGTTAAATTCCTTCTACATCGCCATCAGTGTTTAGTGTAGTTTCGTAAAAATTATGGGAGCATATCTAATTGCCTCTTCTCTGTACAGTGACAGGGTTGATGGATTGTTAATGAAACTGTACCAATTTATCATGCACTAGATGGACAGGGGAGTGGTCATGTACAGACTACAGAGTTAGGCATTCTACTTTACTCCTCCTCTTCATAATCCTAATTGGGTCCCTATATAGCAGAGCTGTTGCTGATGGGTACATGTCTGGTTTTGTCTTCAGAATCTGTGTGCATTCATTCCGTGTGCATAGACAGCAGTTACCGACGGCAGGTATATCTTCACTCACGTTCTTGCATGTATGCATGTCAAATACAAATTTTTTTGATATATAAGATTGATGAGATGAGATGAGATGCTACGCACATTGTCCGCAAATGCAGACGTTATAACTCCGCTTTGCTAATCTGAGGGTGCGGGTTTAACATTACTGGGGTCTGCGTCAGCTCGGACTACTGCGCACAGTGCGCGGAATTAGTGCTATTTTGCCGGCAGCCGCCGGTTCATCCCCCTAAACCGCCAGTTCAACCTCCCCGTATAATCGGTCCACTTGGCCTATTCAAAATTTTGCCTATCTTGCATTTATATCAACAATATTTACCAATTTCCTGACTATAGTTTTTACTTAGTGACTACTAAGAAGTAAATCATGTTCCAGCAATTCTTGTCAAACAAGTAGAACTCCACTGACAGACTGATAGCAATGAAATACTGAAATACTACGAGTATGCCTAATAAATACAAAGCTAATACTTTTATTAATAATGGAATAAATTGAACAAAATTAAGGGCCTGTTCAAACTTGTAAGGGCCTATTCAATTTTTCTAAGGGCCTGTTCACATTTTGGCTAATTTCATGCCATATACATGTCACAAAATATTATCTAGAAATTTATTATGCATGTAGACACATGTCTTGCACAGGCGTTCTGTATGATTTTTGAAATTTGTAATGGTTATTCACTAAACTTGCAATAGAAGATTACATCATTTCATTACGGAAACAGTTTTTTTCACAGCATTTTTACCATGACAGGGAATGGCACTCGCATTACTGAAAGCGTATGTGGAGCACATCGGGCAGAATTGCAGCGGAGTTAAACGCCTGCTGCTGCTTACACACACCGAGTTGCTGCACTTGTACACCAAGGCTGGTTTCAGACTGGTCGGCGAGTCGGCTGTCACGCATGGTGAGTGGTGTAAACTTGTGCACAAGTCCTGTTGCATGTCCACTGGTATTAACCATACGGGTGAGGATCCACAAGAGGACACAGACTGCCATGTTATCAAGAGCTAATAATACCTAGAGTGTACAACGGAAAAACGGGAAAATAGTGCTATTTCACGACAACATTATTCTACTTTGCCTGCGAGTCTAGAATAATTTAATGGTATTGCATTAAGCAGAATTCTGACCGCTTGTCAATACGATACTCCTAGGCTGAGATATTGGTTTCTAAACTTCCCCTCCCACATGCCACACGCCGCCTCGCATCCAGCTTATTCACCAACCTCGACGCCCCTAAGCATTGCTTCGTCAAAGTTCGGTTTTTCCGCGTTAACTTTATGAATGAACAGCGTTTCGGTTATCATAGGTGACTTTCGGGGGCATCTCTTATGCCCTTATCTTCCATTATCTTTCCTAGCAGGGCTAATGCCCGTCATGATGGAGCCGGCAATGTTTTCTCAATTAAGTGTCTACGACGCAGCTCAGTTACTATATGGTGTAGTAAGAGTACCAAATTTGGGTATGTGACATCAATTATCAGCGCTCCAAGCGGTGATGGAAACCGATAGCCAAAATGCTTAGAGGCGTGTAGGTTGGTGACTAAACGGGGTGCGAGGCGGCTTAAGGCATGTGGGAGGGGAGGTTTAGGAGCCAATATCTCAGCCTAGGAGTATCGTATTGACAAGCGGTTGGTCTTGTTTTAGAGAGCAAAGAATTCTGCTTAATGCAATACCATAAAATTATTCTAGACTCGCAGGCAAAGTAGAATAATGTTGTCGTGAAATAGCACTATTTTCCCGTTTTTCCATGGTACACTCTAGGTATTATTAGCTCTTGATGTTATTTGTATATTTTGTTTTATACATTGCTATTATGAATATTGTTCAGGATATTACCAATATTATTTAGTTTTATTAATGCGCATGTTAGTGGTGGCACCGGAATGCATACTCATGCCATCGAAATTAAATCGGTAGCCGGGATGATTCATCTGCTAGGGAATGTTTCATTGTGTTGATGAATGTTCTGTTATAATATATTCTGCAGAGTTACACTATCTACATACTATAGTCACTTACAAATTTTTTTCATTTTGATGTTTCAGGGGCAAGACCATGGTATGAGTGCGTACTAAAGCTAGAGACTACATGTGAGGGAGACAACATGGAATCTATGAATGCCATGTAATTTATTTATAGTGTAGGCTTCGGTTTGTAAGAGGACCACCTGGTCCAGGATGTCATCTAGTTTTTGTGCTAAAAAGGAATGTGGAGCCAATTGAGAACAGCATTTTTAACGCGACTTTTTTACAAACATAATTCCAAGATAACAAGGTATCTCTTTTCATTAAAAATCAGATGTTAAATCAGATGTTAAATAAACAATATTTTACACATATTTACAAATACAATGTTTAAATATATATATATGTCAAGTTCTTACCAACAGTTACAACAAACTTATATCAAATTATAATAATCTCTTTCCCAATTATGGAATTTTAAGTAAACTAATCCATACATATATTGTTTATTTTATGGGGCTTGCATTAACTTTATAATAATATATGTAATATTATATAATTCCTCTAGATGCAATTTTATTTGGGTGAAGTCTATAATTAACATTACAAGTATGTGATAACATGATACATAACTTCAACAATGCACCTGTGTACATGCACAGCAGTAAGCTAATGGCTGCAAAGTCACTTGAATATGCGACGTGATCCCAATCCTAATGTCGTATTACAAGGGTATAATTTATGAGGGCCATATGGTATCAAGAGCTTATAATATAATAATAGGTATGATTAGCTCTTGACGGTATACAATTGGATCCCGATGACTAGTATATATGTCAGGGGGCCGTTGTCAGAAACATCGTAAAGTTAATGCTAATGTTAAGACTAATTTTGTTTCTGACAATGGGGCCCCTGGGTTATATTGCACTACATAACACATTTAAGCATGTGCATACCAGCTGATACGAGTGAGCTATTATTCTCAGTGACTGTTGTATGAACACCAGTAATCATAAAGAAACAATTAATTTCTAGGAAGCAAAAATATTTAGGAAATCAGGATTGTGAATCACATACATTGATTCTCTCTGCCACACAATGTTGCAGGATTCAATGGTTAGAAATTAATTTTAATTTTTAATTTTGTAAAATTTATATCAATAACAATATTTAGACAAACAACGTCTGTTTTCTGTCTAATAGTGTACATATGGTAGGTTAGTATGGGGGACCCTGAATTCACTTAAATAAAATCGGTAACTTAGAGCAAGTTACCAAAATCAGTTTAATTTATTTGACCAGATGACTTATGATCCTGGATCACAATGTGCCCAGTTTTATATAGAATTCAGTGTTATTCGTAAGTCACCTGCTTGTTTATGACGTATCGTATTGTTCTGCGCGTAGGGAGGATAAGTACAGTTAACGATATCCTGGCACCTGGGACTAGTTACGTCTGCAGAGGCTGTCCTAGTGCTTCTGATCCGTAAAGTGACTCAAAGTGCTTCACGTACGATTCGCAGTGTTCTCCTGCGACAAATAGAATCACGTCAGTCTCATTAGGTGCGGTCATATGCATGGCAGCAATGAAAATTAAATTCTAGACCAAGTGCAAGCCTACCGCCACCACAATGCCTACTCAAAGATTGCGCTCAGAGAAATGTCTCACCTTTGGGGAAGTCCGGCCTTCCTCTTAATCGTAAATTTCTCTGTTCAAAGAACTTGAAGACAGTGTAGAACAGTTGGTTGTTCTCTGTGCTCAATGCTACCTCAAGGAATTTCCGTGCTGATATCTGATCCACCTGACCAACAGTCTTCACAAACCTGTGGCAGGGAAAACACCTATGGATTTCTTCAGTGAACAATTCGAATGTGGTCTTTCACGCTATAAACAGACATGAGCAGTACAGATGTAGCGCCGATTGTTTTACAGTAATGATATTACTGCTTTATATGCATAAATTCTGACCAGAACAGCAGCCTTGACATCATCTAGCGATAATATCTCAAATGAGTCAGTGTAGACTGTCAGGTACGCGCTGTGTACAGAAATATATTACAGATGCTTTTGTACTACATACCTAAGAGCTGAAAATAGCTGATGCGTTGACAAAAGCACTTCAATAATTTCTTCATTGGCAGTCGAAAGCCTCTGCAATATTCGTGTTACCATTTTAATTAAAAAAGATCGAGATCAGCTTCATATTCGAAAGGTTTTTGCTCATAATATAGGAAAAATAATTTTATTTCACATGATATTTTCAGTCATGTAAGATACTTATAAAGGCAAGAAATAGTACATAATATATATAATATGTCTACCCAGTTCTTGTAAAAGAACACGAACAATATTTAGCCACTCAGTTTTCTAGCACATGCACTTACATAGTGAAATTAAAATCACTAGGTTATGCGTTTTATGTGTATGTGTCTCCCCCCCCCCCCCCCCACACACACACAACATACCTTGAGCATATCGAGCGCCAGCTGGTGAGCAGGAGGGTAAACGCTCTCGAGTGAGAGCAGCAGACAGGCGAGGTGTTTCGAGTCGCTCAGGACATGGTACTGCATCATCTGGTGGAGCTGATAGAAGCAGCCATTCTGCACTAGGGTGTTGATCAACAGCTCATAGAGGTAGTGCTGAGACGAAACAGAGTATGGCTGCACAACATGCACAGGTGGCTTTACGAAAAAGTAGAGGATGCCTTCACAACAAGCTCAGGTGCTGCTCGGTGGAAGCAGAGAGTACATACACAATAAACACATCACCTACATTTTACACAGTCTGCACAATAGATCTTTTCTCCCAGGAATATTCAAAACAAAGAAATGATGTAACTACATAAGGTAAAAAAAACTAATTGGTGTAAATCATCTATACCTCGAACGGACTTTGAACATTCCAATCCCCTTACATGACCGAGTATTCTCTCAAACGATTCCAGTTGATGCGAGTGTTCAGTATTCTCATTTTTGACTGCTTGCACTCAAAAATGCCAAGTGCGTGTTTGCCTGTAGTCACGTTTCTTGTGTGTTGTGTGCGTATTGAGATTACCTGGACGTGAATGCGATTCTGGTTCAATGAGCGGATGTAGTCGATGAGTACGGCGACGACAAACTTGTAATTGCCGCTCGCGTCGATACTATCGACGAACCGGGAAAGTACGTAAGTGTACATGTCTGACTGGTCCACGACTACCTGGGATGTACTGGGGGCAACTGCTTCAGCACCCTGAAGTCAAAACGCGCTGAGATTTAATCGTCAATATTTGTAGCAAACTATATTGTGTTAAATGCAATTGAGAAGTTAAGGTAAGTGAAAACAATTACTTCAGTGAGTTTTCAAGAAATGAACTTCTACGCTGCATTTAAATCTTTAACCCCCCTTTTATGCCCATTAAACCCCACTCGCCCCAGCAGCAATCACACGACTAGAAGCACGTACATCCACGCTTACTATCAACCAATCGTCACAGGTTGGCCATGCGCCTGTTATCACAATGTCGTTCTTGCGCTTATCCGCACGCACCTGACTCTTCGAGTCAAGGTGATCCTTGTAGATGGCATTGAGTTTGTCGTAGAGTTGACTAATGGTGCGCAGCCCACACTGCTGGGGGCCGGGCGATAGCGCCAGCAGACACACAGTTAGCACCGTCATCTTGGAATCGCTGCGTTGCAGCAGAAAGTCCATCAGCTTCAACTTGTCGGGAAACATGTTGATCATCGGCTGCAAATTTAGCTGCACAGTCCATAAGCATCCTGCAGGAGCCAAGAAAATATGCATTGAGACTCCCACTGCACGAATGTGGCTGCACCACTGATAAATACCATGCAGGAGCAATGAAAGTGTATGGGAACAACTGCAATGGCCTATTCCAACTTTACTGATCATGGGCACGCATATCAGGAGTAAATAAAAAGAAATTCGTTTTTATTCACCCCTAATATACGGCTTAATTAAAGGGGGAAGCCGTACTCTAATGACAATGTACTTACCCCATTTTGCATCTATCACAATGTTTGGTTGGAAGACTACCCAGTTGGATGAATCTGTTTGAAGCTGTTAAGGAACTGATGACGAGAGTGAAAATTTATGCTACAAATTGTAATACTATATGGTACTTGGTTCATAATCACAGATACTTTCTTATGTTATATGTTATTAATTTGAGAACTGTTGACAAGGATACAGAGATCACATTGCGTTTCCGTTGTTTCATTTGGTAGATGTGTTGGTGCTATGGGAAGTTGAAATGTAAATGATTTAATCGACAGTGGAGGACACACTGGGTGGTGGTAGTTTACGTAACCATCAGAATCCTTTGCCAGTCTGATGTCAAACACCATCGAAGTCTGAAAAAGATACATTTACATTAAATTTAATCTACTTATATAATTCCATGATAGTCAATGCATATGCAAAGATAATCCCTGGCCAGCTTTTCTATTGTACTGTTTCATGGAAACACGTACCCCACGTAGACAAATTAGTGAACCTATTTAGCAATTCAATGAAGTGATTAATACTGAAGTAATACTGTTTGTTGTGTTAATCAAGGCTAAATAAATTCGTTCCATTCTGTAGCTAGTCTTATACGTGTGACACATGCCTGTGATGTCTGGTGATGAACAACCAGCAGGCTATCCACGACATTCACAGCGAACCTGCCGCTCATCTCCAACCGTAGCACATCCGTTTTCCTTGCCGGACTTTCCCTGCAACATCATGAGATACTAAACCAAGAGTTTTATTCAGAGCAATTATTATGTAAAGGCACGTAAGACACGTTAGCGGTGTGAAACATTTCAATGTAATTGGAGTTGAAATCAATTAAATACAAATAAACGATAGATACATTTGGCAATATATTTTTAATTTACATATGTATAGTTTAGACTACCCCGTGTTTTAATTCTTATATTCCGCTGCCTTTCACATATATACCATAATAAAGGATTATACACTCAATTTACAAAGACAACAAAATTTAAAATAAAGGAGATCGAATGTGTAATTATACAATTTAAAAAAACTCACACAAACACTATTAAGTGAATAGCAATGATGACTTCTAATGTCAAGAAGTCTAATCTGATAGGTGACCTTGCTGTCCATTAAAACAATGTTCTATGGAATTCATGTAAGATTTACTTCCAGAACCACTACAGCTAGTGCAATATCTGTTCTTACAACACCAAAATTCACTTCTATGAAAATGTTACACGTCTTCATCGCAGAAAGCAGGTGTAACGTAGCTCTAAACAGGATACTTGGTGTGAAGATACGTACCTGTGAAGTTGGTAGAGGCAGACCTCAGCATTAGGCTGACCTCCAACTCTTGGTTGGTGTCTCAGCACCACAACATATAATTGCCCATATCTAACCAAAAAAGAGGTATAGTTACTAGTAGAGGTACTACACAAATTCCTACTGCTATACCAATCCACCTGGGTCAAAAAATATTTATAGACGAACAAATGGATGGCTGCACACAAGCAAAGAATTAAGTGACCTGTAAATGAAACTTATTGAGTGCAGACTATAGTCTTACTGTCTTATACTGTACTTTTACTGTACTTATATGTCTTACTGGTTATACAATGAACAAATGTATCCTCACGTTATATACATGTGTGTGTTCATGGTCACAATGAAAAATGTTGAAAATAAATTATAAAATGTCATTACTAAAACTTTTTTTATAGCAGTGATGATGAAGAGAAAATATACACAAATGATAATTTATCAATTCTATCAATTATAATTTTTCCCTAATTTAGTATTGCTGATGAGTCAAACTCACAAGTCGCAGGCTCACATCACACCCCCCCGCCCCCCCTATCCAAGCAACAAACACATTCTGTTTCTTTTTTTTGGCGTCATTCTAGGCACATTCATCTTTTTCAAATTGCGGTGCTCTTAAATTTGCATTTGTTGTTCCTACCCTTCAGCATAGAATAACATGTGTCTTTGGTTTCCCTTTTTCTCACATATTGTGAAATCTATAATAAAACAGAGCAAGATTGTTATCTGGAGTACATCGTGTTTTGACATTTTGTTAATGTTTTTTTATATTCAGTAAAATTCAGAAAAATCAGTACAGTAAATTCATAATGCCTACTTTAATGAAAGAAAGGCAGCATAACGTTTCCTAGAGTGCCGGTGACAGAAGACTATGTTGCTATCAGGCAAGCAGACAACCAGTTGACAACAGTATTGTGTGTCTTAATGGGCTTCAATGTTCTTTTCTCTGGAAGCACCTGTAAACGATTTATCATAGTAAAACAATATATTATATACTTACAAACTACCACAAAACCTATGTAACTACCTATGTACCTATGTAAAATAGCCAACTAGTATATATTATATTATGCATCACAACCAGGATATATATATATATATATATCTCCTGTTGTTGTTGTTGTTGTTGTTGTTGTTGTTGTATTGCTTGAAGAAAAGACATGTAATGTCGTAAAAATATGTCCTCCAAAGTTCGCAAAATAAAAATTTGACTTATTCTATTTTTCTATATTTATTATTTATATATACCATATATATATATATATAATATATATATTATATATAATTTTTAGATGTGCCATACATTATATATGGCTATATATAGTAATAGATATATAAACATCCTCTATAGAACTTCATCATCTATAGAACTGTTGTGAAATCTTACCTGATATAATTCTAGTCCATGATCTGTGACAAAAACTATTTCATTTAATCCAGTCCAGTTGAATCCCAAAATTCTTGTTGACTTCCCCTAAATTATAGACTACTATTTAGTATGAGGTTTTTATACAAAACTTAAATAAAATCGAATTTAAACAACAGTTGGTAAATCCACAGCAATGAAAAACAATGTAACAGTTTATAATTTAAGCACATGACAAATAAACAAATTAAGAAAGAATGAATAAAGAATGGATTGATTGTCAAAAATACATAATTGCCATATACATTCAAACAAATGATATCCTTTGCACATTTACTTATCAGTCAACATCGACATACAGCTAGAACCTATCAGTCACATGTACCTTGCATGCTTGTGAATATTCCATAACATCCATTCCTTCTATAAAGTTGATGAATTCTACTGTTGTTTGGGACCTTTGTACAGCAAGCACTCTTAAATCTGGTGAAAATTTAATTGACTCAATCTTCCCTTTGTCTTCCATTCTGTAAATAGCAATTTCATAATCATATGATGTTACTGCATATATACATATATATCAAGAGTAAGTAATAGAGATCTCTATTATGTACTCTTGATATATATAATATGCTTTGCTCGAACAAATAAATTTGAAACGTCTAACCCATAAAATTAGAGATGTATGCGTTCTATGATACTGGTTATAGAATGATATATGATGCTATAATTGCATTTGTCAGCAGATATTCACTTGAGAATCACACAGTACTGCTTATATTATTTTACCTAAAAGTCATGTTGCTTTTTTCACTGCGACCTTTAACACTGACTCCCGTTGTCCCACCTGAACGAACGGTGAATACCTGTTAAAAATGATAATGAGAAAATCAAGCACAAGCGAGTAAGTGGAGCATACTTATTATAAATAAAATCATACCTCACACCAGGTAGGCGTACCAGTTACCGATAGTTTTTTATTTTAAATTGAACGATAAATAAGTACCAACTACAGTAGATTTCGACTGTGCAAATACATTTTATGTATATATAGTATGTATATAACTCCAATGTGTATCTCTGGCGGTACTATGGAGTATGGACTATGGTGTATCTCTGGCGGTAAGGTGTATACTGGCGCAGATGGGGTCGTTGTCGTATCAGGTACTACTGTACAGATATGTAGATATATGTAGATAGGGTGAGGGTTAAGGTTAGGGATAGAGTTAGGGTTAGAGTTGCTCATAGCTAGGGTCTATGTCCCCCAGGGTACTGCCGGAACGTACCCTGGGTACGGTCCGGTATACCGGAACGTACCCTGGTCACTATTTGGTATGGTTAGGGTTAGGATTAGGGTTAGGGTTGGGCGGGTTAGGGTTAGGGTTAGGGAGTAGGCGTAGGCGACTCCCTAGACGATCTGCAGCCCGGATATACGCGCGAAGCGCGAACAGCGCCGCCTCGCAGCGCCTTTTGATCCAATTCGCTGCCCTCTATGTAGAACTAACTACTCGAAGCCCTCTGGGTACTACAGAAAGCC